TTAAGGAGAAGCTAGCTCCTTATTTCTTTGTAGATTTACAAAAGACTTCAGGACAAGGCAGATGCCTGGGCTTTATTTATGTCTCTAAACTATCTATTGGATCATCGAGTTTTCCCCCAATTCTCTGGAGCTAACAACTTTTTTGCAAGCTCAGAAAATGAACCTCAGGATGAAAGTGTGTTGAGTTTCCTGAGGGAAGAAATTATTGAGTCTTTGTTTACATCCTTTGTCAAGGAGATAATATTTACTCCTTTGGGGCCTCATATTCTCCCTGGATTGGGTCTCACTAAAAATTATGAAACTTCATTGCAGGGAGGGAGTAGCTGCCTGTATTCATGGGTGTCCTCTATTGCTCTCTCTCAGTTCTTACTCCTCAAAGGAGAGTTGGGGGATAGTGTCACTTGCCCCTTCTAATACCTTTTTACATTTTATTGAGTTGATATAAATAAAATATGTCCTTGCATTCATCCTGTGTTTTAATGATGATAAAATGGTTTCTGAAGTCAAATTTTGAGAGTGTGAGTTCACATTCTTCCACTTACTCTGATATTTGATGAGGCCTCTTAGGAACCTCTTTGACAAGGCACCAATTCCATTCAGGAAGGCTCCATCCCTGTGAGTTAAGGAGCTAAGTGCTTCTCCAAAGCCCCATCTTCGAATTGGATTATTTTGTTTGAATAATACAATAAATTTGTGTTTAACTAGTAACATAAAATAGAATAAATAGCAACAAATGTAAATATCAGGAACAACTTTGTGATATAATTGTTTTCTGCGGATGGACTTTACCTTTGTCGAGAGGGAAAGTCTTCTTGAAAAAAACCAGCTGTGGGGAGCTTTGTCACCAAAAATCTGTTCTTTGGAATGCACCTTAGTTTTAGTCTGCTCTTATTCTGCACTTACTCTCCAGTCTATGCTGGGCATGGCCTGACACGGGTCAGGCCATTTCTCTTGCTTAGGGACTTTCTATCAAAATGGCAGAGACATTTTAGAACTGCAGTGTGATCTGATCCTCTTGCTCAATACTCTCTTTCTCTCTTACCTTCTTGGCCTTGGTGTAAGACTTGTTCCTGGCTTGAAGGCCTTTGTCCCCGACCCTTGTCCCTCTCCCTTTATCCTTCATAGATATTAACCACAATAAAGTCTTATAAGTCTAGTTCTTTCTAATCATCTGGCTTCTTGAGGAAGCTTAAGTAACAACTGACACACTGAGTTTAAAACTTGGTATGAAGTTTTGATCAAGATAGACAAATCATTGAACAGAATAAAAGATTCAGAAATAGGTCTTCATTTATGTAGTCAGTATATGTATATATTTTTTACCAATCAGTAAATTCACGAGGAAGTAAAATCTTTTAAGTAGTAGATACTGGAAATCTACCAATGTTTAGAAAATTGAATGTATTCAATCTGTTTAAAGTTTGCTGGAAAGAGCAGCTTATAAAAATTAATGTATTTTAATAATGAGTTGCAATTTTTATATGCAGAGTTATTTAAATACTTGGTTATAATTTTAGGAGGTTGGAAAGATACAAATATAAATTTTAAGCAAAATTCAAGTTTTTTTTTGTTTTGTTTAAACATTGCTGAGTCACCAGCACAACCTGGTGGCTGTTTAAGTGAACTGCTTGGTCCAGTGTTTTAACGTTAACTTCTGTTGAGTTTTATCGCCATCCTTGGTCCTTGCCCTGGTCTCTCTCTCTTTTTCTCTTAGTATTTAAAGTAAAATTAAAAATTTTCATAATTATCATAATTGAAAATGAGCCACAACTTTTTTGTAATTTTTATTTTGATTTATTTCTTAAGGATTATATTTTTATCTTTATTTGGCCTTAGGAGGTGAGGACTTGATACATCTGTGGTGGAGACCATATGCTTTCTTTTGTTTTTAATTGAGGCAACATTGGTTTATCATGAAAAATTAGAACATCTAAACAGATCAATAATCTAAAACTTTGCAACAAAGAAAAACCCAGGACCACATGGTTACATTGATTAATTTACTAAGCATTTATGAGGAATTAATGCCAACTTGTTTTAAGCTTCTCCAAAAGTTGAAGAGCTGTAGGTCAGAAGTACTTTTACACTGATTCCAGTTAAGGACATTACAAAAAAAAAAAAAAAAAGAAAACCACAGGTCAGTATATTGATAGAGATGACAACATCCTCAACAAAACTGTATCAAACTAAAATGAACGGCAAATTAAAGGGATCATGTATTATGATCAGGAGGATTTACCCCTTGTTAAAGATACTTGATCCCTTGTTAAAGATGCTTCTACACACATCAAGCAATAAATATGATATATCAGATTAATAAAGGTAAAGATAAAATTTATGGAATCATCTCAATAGATGAGAGAAAATGTCAGAGAATTTCAACAGTTCTCACAATTAAAAACAGGATGGGGGCACTGCAAAAGGATCATGAAGGGAACTTGGAATGGTGATGGAAACACTCTTGATCTTGATTATAGCTGTGGTTACATAACTGTATTAGTTTTTGAAAGCCATTGACCAGAACTCTTAAAATGGATGCATTTTATTGTATACAAATTATATCAAAATAAAATGAATTAAAAAAGAGAAAATTACAAGAAGGTTGTCTCAGTTTTTGTCTTTTGGCTACTGACCCTGAGACATTTTCTGTAAGTTAATCATACTTAGTTTTGCTATATAAGAACTTAGTAATTTTTTAATGATTACAGAAGTTTGAATAAATTTGTTTTGAAAACATGGAATACTACTCAGCTATAAAAGGCCTGGGTCATTTATAAGTGCGACCACTAGTATGCAATTAATTGAGGGCAGCATTGCTTAGTAAAAGAAGCCAATTCCAGAGAGGTTACATAGTGTGGGATTTCATCTGTTTTTTTTTTTTCCCCCGTAATTACTAGAAGGTAGATGTGGTGGGACAGGAAGGGTGTAAGTATGACATTGTAGTATAAGGGAGTTCTTTTATGGTGGTCTTGAGTTCTGCATCTTAAATTATGGGGGGGTTTACAAAAATCTATGCACTTACAAATGACAATAACACACAGTACATACGACATTGTTGAAAGCTGAGTAGTTACACCTATGTTCTGATAGTCTAATTAAGTTCATTGCCCCAATATCTATTTCTGGTTTTGCTACTGTATTAGTTGTTGAAGATGTCACTATGACAGGGACTGGGTTGATTTCAAGGGGTGATTTTTGCAGTTTCTGGTAGTCTTTAATAATTTCAAATTAACAAAATTAGTTCCATTCTCATAAGCATATCATAACTTAGCATATACCTGGAAGAATAGTCTTATTTTCTTGAAATAGAAGTTTATTAATAGTGATGTTGCCTAGAGATTTGTTTATTATGAGCAAAAGCATAGTCAGTTAAAATAACCTGAGGTGATTAAATTTTCATGAACTGGATCATTCTTATTAAATTTATAACACAATATCTGAAATCAGTGTAAAAGATATCCTTTTCATATCTATAACTCTTATAATTATTGACTAACTAAACAAAATCAAATATTAAAAAGTACATAATAAATAAAATTTATAAAATCTTTGTAAATCTTAATGAACTAATGTTATTTGGATTATAATTAGTGTGATTTGATGATAGCAATTATCTACATTTTGTAAAGGGCAGCATCTCTTATGCTTTGGAGAATATATAATCCTCAGTGGGACACTAACATTATTAGGATGTAAACACAGGCACCAACTTTCTCCTTCCACTGCTTATAATGATGGGATGGCCCCAGAGGAGACCTACATTGGATTTATAATAGTTTCAAAATAATAAAATCCTTCAGTAAATGCAGAGAGTGGGTAGCAAATCTTTTCCTTATTCCTCTCAGTAACTTTGTAGTAAGTTTGATTTGCACCTCAGAATGACTACTGGACCATTCAGATTGTGAATCTATGGTATGACTCTTTTTGCCAATAAATAGAGATGAATCATCTGTGACTCCATGTCATTAGCCTTGATAATGCCAAAGCCAGTTCTTCTAGTTCAGGGGAGGTGAAACAAGCATTGGTGAGGAGAGTGAGTTAATTAAGTCTCTATTTTTCTCTCCCTCTCTCTGTTCCTGTAAAGTGAGAAAAAATACTTATATTGAATAAGATCTCTAATGCATAGAGTTTTAATTCTTCTAGCTGTATATTTCTGTGCTGACATCCTCCTCCGTCTAGTAGCACATAGCTGTTGACTACCAAGTCCAAGTGCTACATTTAGAGATTTTTCTTTATGATTTTAATTGAAATATGCTACTTGTATAGACTATTTTATCTGCTGTATATTTGGGGCATATTTTCACAAACTTGACAGCTTAATCAGCACCCAAACTAGCTTTTTTTTTTTTGTAAGTCATCCTGCAAAATACAGGAAAGCACCCTCAACTTCCTTATTCACTTTCTGCCCAACTGGATAGAATAGAGGAAAGAATGAGTGCCAGTGCTGGAGTGCACAGTTCATTGTAAATCTCAGAATACCAAGGCTCTCCTCATTGTTACCAATTAATGACTCTGTGGAATCTTGTAGGAAGGTATCAGAAAGCTGATTAAGGATTCACTTCTTGGGAGAGAGTATTAGAGAGAGTTTCTCTACCCTGGAGAAATCCTGCCTTTCTTGATGCATATCACAGAGCAACTGAAGTTTCTGGTGGGGTAATAGGAACAGGATTGGGAATAAGGAAGGAAAGAAACATATGAATGCAGGAAACACGTATCCTTACTATTGAAGCTCATTAGCAGGTAGTCTTGATCCTCAGTACTCCATCCTTCTCTTGTAGTACAGACAGGATAAAGTTTTTTGTTACCTGCAGCTCATGCAGACAAAAGACAGAGTGGCAGGTAGATATGTTGGGACGAATATGTGATTTTACAATCAGACCCATGAAGCAAAGGAAAACTTGCTGAATTCTACCTGTCTGAGTACCTGCTCATAACTGAGAGTTTGTAAGGGGAGACCTGGGTTCTCTATTAATGAAATTTTCTTCTGTTCTCACAGATGTATGAAGATGAATATGCTGGCTAGAAATGACTCTTTAGTGACTGAATTTATTATTGCTGGATTAACAAACCGTCCCGAGCTCCAGCAGCCTCTCTTCTATCTGTTTCTAATGATCTACATCGTCACCGTGGTGGGCAACCTTGGCTTGATCATCCTTATTGGTCTAAATTCTCACCTCCACACCCCCATGTACTATTTCCTTTTCAATCTGTCTTTCATTGATCTCTGCTACTCTTCTACTTTCACTCCAAAGATGTTGCTGAACTTTGTATCAAAGAAGAATATAATTTCCTATGTTGGATGCATGACTCAGTTGTTTTTTTTTCTCTTCTTTGTCATCTCTGAGTGCTATATGTTGACTTCAATGGCCTATGATCGCTATGTGGCCATCTGTAACCCATTGCTGTATAAGGTCACCGTGTCCCATCAGGTCTGTTCTCTGCTAAGTTTTGCTGCATATGCAATGGGATTTGCTGGAGCCACTGCCCACACAGGATGTATGCTTAGACTAACCTTCTGTGATGCAAATGTCATCAATCATTACCTCTGTGACATCCTCCCCCTCCTCCAACTCTCCTGTACCAGCACTTATGTCAATGAGGTAGTAATTCTTATTGTTGTGGGCATTAATATCACAGTACCCAGTGTTACCATCCTGATTTCTTATGTCTTCATCCTCACTAGCATTCTTCATATCAAATCCACTAAGGGCAGGTCCAAAGCCTTTAGTACCTGTAGTTCCCACATCATTGCTATTTCTCTCTTTTTTGGTTCAGCAGCATTTATGTATCTCAAATATTCTTCTCCTGGATCTATGGAACAGGGAAAAGTTTCTTCAGTTTTTTACACTAATGTGGGACCCATGCTGAACCCTCTGATCTACAGTTTAAGGAATAAGGATGTCAAGGTTGCACTGAAGAAAACCCTGCTTCAAATTCAGAGGAGAAACATATTCTAATTAGGAATTAAAATGTAAAGCAATTTACTTTTTCCTTTAATTTTTTATTACTGTGTTTCAAGAATTAAATTTGTTCCAAGCCATGTTAATTTGAACAGGATGTGTTATATGTGTTTAAAAGAGTTGATCTTGTGTTTTTTTTGGCTTCTGTATCTATCACCTCCTTCTTGCACATGTTTTCCACAGTCCTAATACCATGCTCACAGAGGGGCTTTCCCTCAACTTTTACAGTCCTTTTGTCTGTTGGACTATTTGCCAGTCCATTGTCATTTTTGGTTCTTCATTGTTGATATATTTTTTAAGTGTTTGTTTTTTTCCTCAGGTGTAGTCACCATAGAGTTTCCATCACCATCAAATATCACCATAGTCTCTTCTGCTTTCCCTCCCTCTTTTTGATCCCTCTGAATATATACCACACTGTCTTGATCCAGTAATCTATTTTTGGGCATTTGAGTTGTTTCCTAGTCTTAACTATTATAAATAGTGCTGCAATAAGCATTGGGTTACAGGTATTCTTTTGAATTAGTGATTTTGTGATACCAGCTATTTGAAAAGAGTTAATAATTGTTATTATAATTTTGTTATTTTTCATTTTAGGAGAATACTGTACATACTATTAGGAGAAATTATTAATGTTTCCTTTCATATTTTTGTTTTAATTCTTCAATGAGGCTTATTATAAAAAAGATATGCACCTTAAGCATAGTGAACTATATTCCAAGCTACATTTTGTTAATGGGCAGAAACTTTTTCTCACCAATAAGACAAAAACATTTAAAAAAATTTTTATTTTATAACAGTTTATTTTTACATCATTTTGTATGTTTTTTTTTTTCCATCTCAATTGCAATCCCCGCGGGTTTCCCATCACCAAGTCACTCATGTGCCATCACCAAAATCCAGTGCACTTCCCTCCACCCCCATTTTTGATCCCATTCCCCACTCCACCCCCGCAAAATGTAAGACAAAAACATTTTTATCAACACTTTAATATAACTTCCACATTTCTCTAATGCTTTCCATGTCAGTATGTTTATATCGTCAAATATAGTGGGAGGTCAAGAAGTATAATTAGGTCATCTTGGTTTTAAATATCATAACTTTAGTATTATAAATAATAATACGATAATAAATCAGAACTTTTAAGTTAATTTCTTTTGGGAAGGGAGCTTTGGAAGTCATAGTATGCTGCTGATCAGCTCCTCTCGAAGAGATCTGCTATTGGTAAGGTTGTTGGCTGAAAGTCTACTCCTTTGTTTCCACCAACATGTTCAGAGAGAGTCCTTGCTTACTCTGAGATGTCCCCAGGCAGTGATCTAGGCCCTGTATCAAATTAGTCCTGGTCTATTGTAGTGACCTCTTCAGATAGACATTCTTTGCTGAGAGATTTTCTCTCATTTTAACTAGGATTTTTTTACACTTGTGCTGTGGTCTGAGATTTTCCTACTCAAAACTTCCTGCTATCCTTTCTTAGGTATAGGATGTTCACCCTGGATTCTAGAATTTATTCCTGACTCCCAATCCTTCCCATTTTATCCTTTATAGGTATTCACCACAGTAAATGACTTGCAGGTCTAATGATTTCTTACCCTCAGGAGGAGAGGGTAAGTGGGAGGGTGAAGGGCCCCAATTTACAGCTAGATACAACCTTCTCTAACTGTGAAAAGTTAATTTGTTCTTTTTCTTTTCTCCATCAATAAAGACCTGCTTGACTAAATGTATTGAACTCTAAGGAATGTAGCCTGTAACCAACACTAATTCTTGGTAAACAACTCTTGGCATCCTATACCCCTGTCTACTTTTTGTCCTTTAAAAAAATCCCTTAAAACATCAGTGGGATGCTCTTTGGGCTAATACCTGACTTTAAGCTCCTTGCTATAAATTTAGACACCAAAATAACCTCATAAATAATTTTAATTTGTACTTACTAAACTTCACGTCACTGTGATGTAAAGTTCTATGCGTTTTGAGATATGTATAATGTCCACCATGACAGTATCGCATAAAATAGTTTCACTGTACTAAGAGAAATCCAAATATTTCTCTTATTCATCCCTCTTCCTTCAGAAAACTTGACAGTATTCTTACTGTCTCTATAGTTTTACCTTTTTCAAAATGGCATACAATTGGAAACATCTACTGTCTAGTCTTTTCAGTCTAGCTTTCTCACTTAACAATGTGTAAGGCTCTTACATATCTTTCATAGTTTAGTAATTTATTTCTTTTTATTATTTAATAATACTATGTGGATACACAAGTTTATTCATTCCCCTTTTGAAAAATGTTTCACTTTCAGTTTTTCACAATCACGAATAAAGCTTCTGTGAACACTCAGCAGCAGGGTTGTTGTATAGACATTAATTTTTTTCAAAGATTTATTTATTTATGCTTAGAGAACTGGGGTACAGGCCAGATGTGTGGTGGGTGAGAGGATTCACCAGAGACAGAGTGGGGAGCAGAACAGGCAGACTGACAAAGTAAACTGCCGAGGGGAACAGTGGGCGGGTCAGGATAAGTCTGCCACACCATGTGTGTCAGCTCCCTGGCTGGGATCGAACTCATGCTGCAGTGGCTTTGGAGAGCTTCATAATGGCAGTGCTTGAAACCCATTGCACCACCAGGGAGACCAGGGAGAGCCTGAAAAA